ATACCAAAGTAAATCCCCCGCCCAAAAAGAAAAATTTAGTGCAGAACTTCTGGGCAGTTCCATGGTACTCTGTGTGCTCTATCTTGGTATAAATGAAAGGTTTCATCTTTGTTTGGATGGAATATTCCCTCCCCCATGAAATTTTATCTGTTGAATTTTTCCAACATATAAAAATAGTCAAATTCCCTTGAAATTATGAACTGGTATATTGTAGTGATATCCAAATTTGGAGTCCCATTTTTTTCTGAGGTCTGAGTTTTAAGAAGTATTGTACTGAGCTTAATGAAGCTTGCCTTACTTTTTAATTTTTTCTGTGACTTAGATATTGCAATAATGTAACAAAATATAAGCTCAACAGACAAGTAGTGTTAGGTCTCCAAAAAGTCAAAGCGTACCGTAAGCTGAAGAAAAAGATATTAGTGTGATTTTAGGGTTACCAGTAGTGTTGTGAAGTCAGGATGTCAGCTAATCTTCCCTTGAGTTCAAGACTAGTCGAACAAAAAAATATAAACAGCAGCTGCTGTTTTGACAGGTTATTGTTGAGTGTGGTTCAAGGTCATTTTTCTGTTAAGTGGATTTCTACGGAGAAATCACAAGGCTGATTTTGTTCATGATTTTGGTTAGTCAAATAATACAGAGATTGCTGTGTTTTAATGTTAACGTGACTGGGATAGTAACCCTTTCCATGTAATTCGTCTGGATATTTTTGTGTCAGTGGACTGGTGCTAGCTCAGTGGACAAAGGTGGTGCTGAGGGAACGGGCATCTTACCTCATGACGTGCCCCGAGCTTTTGACCAAACTAAGCCAGGTGTATGAGATGATCAACACCAGGACGCACCAGTCGACACGGATGATGAGACTACACGGCAAACTGGATCTCATGCTGGCACAGGTAACAATAACCATTTGCTGTCTTGCGAGTTGGTCGTAGTAAGTGCCCAGTTTGGAAGAACTGCCCGTCTGCTTGATCTCTTAGGCTGTTTCAAATCTTGGCCATGGCTGGTTATAATGCATGGGTCTGTGGAAGCTGTCTGCTGGTGGTTTAATCCGATTCCCATAAATACACATGCTGTGGCTGGCCGTTGCCAAGTGATTCTACGTAGCGGCACTTAAGGCTAAGTCTGATCTTTTGACCATTAGTCAACCACGGGTCAATTTTTCCTGATGCATAGGATATACATTTTGTACCAAGGTTTACCAGACTAGACACAGTCACCCAGTGTCATAAAGGTGACAGCTGATCAAATATGGTTCCAGGTCTTATCATCGGTTTCATAGAAACAGTTGAGGAACAACTCCTTTTTCCACCAGAAGTTGGCGTATTCACTTACATAATGATATGTGTTCATGGTGTATTTTATATTTCATGTAATACATCTAACAAGGGTAGACAAGATGGAATGGCTACCATTTTAGTACATGGAGTGTAATCAGTAAAGATTCTTCTGTGTTTTGTATCGACTGTTTTGCCCTTCACAATGTCTGTTTATAAATACTGTATTCTCTGCCTCATTTAAAACAAGATACACGCTTACTTGCAAGGGACTCGATTTTTATGACTTCATGCTCGTTGCTGAGAAAATGCCATCTCATATTATGATAAAAGATTCCCTTTAGAATTGTTGTGTCCACACAAACGAGTACCAGTCGGAGTGAGTGTCCCTCGGCTGAAAATATTGGACACCAGCTTAGAGTGTGTTTGGAATAGGACTGAATTTTTTTCTCGAAAGATGAATGAGACGTTCCCGAGCCTGCAACAGATGGTCATAAAATCTAGCAAAAAAGTGTCATCTTTGGCTAAAAATTTAGTGTCCGAATGCTTTTTGTGTTTACTTCAGTCGGCCCTTTCTAGGGGGTAGTAAGTTTTCAAAAAGCGCATTCATAAACAAGTTGCCTTTGCTTTTATGCTACTAACTGTTTGTTTTTCCCTTCTTGCCCTTGACTTTGGATTTTGTATCAATAGATAGCTTCTCAGAAGCAATGTGAGGAAGAACAAGACAGACCTATGAAAGCAGCACTGATCTATGAAGAAGGTGAAGGAACTACTTTTACATTCTCTTGACCGAATCGTAACCGCATTGAAATCTGTTTTATACTGCACATGTGTAGTTTGGTAGGAAAACATTTACTAATTGCCAAGGAAAATGACATCGGAAAACTTGATCGTTTGTGCATCTGTGCAGTAACTGAGCTAATTCAGAAAGAATCAAAGCTCTGAAGTGTTTCTTAACCCTAAACGCCTAGGCCCTGTTGGCTAGGACACACCCTCAATCCTTCAAAAATCCTCCAACAGCCCCCATGAAATAATTGGATGCAGCCTCAGTCCTCCAAAATCCTCTGATATTTCTTGAATATGTTCTGTGGGGAGGTACCCACTGCCTTAACCCTTTAATATCTTCTGACAATTCCTCAATTCCAATTCATTATGTTGAGGCAGTGCAGTATGTAGGATTTCAAATAATGTGGACATGACTTTATGCATGGCCGAACATAAACAACACAAGGTCTAACCCGCAACCTTGAGACAGTGCATCCTTTGCAGTCGGCAATGCAATTTTGCCTTGCAGCCTCAATCTTCCAGAATCCTACAAAACTGTCCAGAGGATTTTGAAGGATTGAGGACGGTTAGGGTTAATCTGTCATATGGTAGAGGACGATTGGATCAGTCCAAGACTGAGTCCACAAAGATCCCTTCCATGAAAGTTCTTTTGTTTGTCTTTTACAGATTCATCAGATGAGGGAGACATTATAGAGGAACCATATCCCATGCAGTCGGAATCAGAGGTAGGGATTTCTTCCTTAACCTTAGCCCCCCCCTGTTGTGTGTTTTAAACTGTTTTGAAATTGAAGGACTGAGGACTGTTAGGGCACATGTACTGATAAAGAGGCCTTGGTTGACCCTTGACCCACTGGCGGTTGAAGGTGATGCATGCAAGCTGTGCTTTATTTGTGTCTGCAGAAGCTCTCAGGACAAGTGGATTGGGAGGCTATAAAATCAAACTGTGTGATTTTCCCTCACATTTTTTTTTGTAAAGGATGTAACTGAAACAGATCAATAATGCCCGTTTTGTGTAAACCTTGGTTCTACATAAATTTCTGAGCACGTCATGTACACACTTTACAGTTAATGATATTTTTACAATCAGTTGCTGTGACATGACAGTGTTTCCACCCACGCACTGTACGTACAGTAACTTGTCCTCTCCACTCTGTCAGTGTCCGTGCAAGGCTGAAATTTCTTGAAGAATACTGTTTCTTTTGGTTGCCGTCTTGGAAAAAAGGAGTGTCATTTCCGAGTCACACAAGTGCCCCTCAACTGTAGCTGCATCGAACACGTGGAATACATCATTGACGTTCTATCCCAACTTTGTCACAAAACAGGGCGAGTGGGAGGAGCTATCAGAAATGGACGCCCAGGAGTCCCAGGTCGTCCAAGATGCGGAGGAGCAAGGAGGGCACGAGAGCGACATGTCAGACCTGGAAGAAGATGAAGGGGAGGTTGACGAAGACGAGGACGAAGTCGTCGGGGAACCGTCAAGTAGTGAGGACGATTGAAGACACTCACAAATTTGCTTCCTAATTGAAGCCAGTCACTACAGCTGGACTAACTCTCCCCCCCCCCATTTATAACAGATGTCCCCTGGATTTTCCAGTGAGCTGTCAGTCTGAGAGGAAAATATTTATTTGTCCTTTGAGACATTATTATGTAATGAAAAATTACGGTCAGAGTCTTTTGTATATGGTACATTTGATCACATGCTGATGTAAGATTTGGGAGTTCAGTCAAACTGTTCCAAGCCATAGTTTGCAGAGTCATACACTTGTTAAACATGAAGACTGCCTGTAACCAGGATATCAAAACTAAGCCACATTTCCCCACATAGGTTTCTGTTGCTGTAGCGTGACTCACATACAAATGGAACTTCCATCTTTGTGAGCAGGGCTTTTTTTTCTATGCGGTAAAATAATTAGATTGTCAAACTTTGTTTGGAGAGCATCGCAGCATTGGTCGGATGCAGCAGTTCTGCCTGCGTGGAATCCCTCTACTAACAGTGCAGTCAAATGTATCCCAGGTGCGGACGTTGCTCAGTCCAATCCAATGGAAAATTTAGTTAGTACAGGTTTAATGTCTTTCCGTGTACTCCTTGGCAGGCCTTTGTTCGTACATTTCTTAATGCTAGCCAAAGAAATTCCTGTAATTTGAGCCGTGCTAACTCAGAAAGTTTTGACTACATGATCTTGGCAATGCTTGTGGGTGTTTCTTTCTGAAGAGAAAGCTTTTGAGTTGGGTCTTTGTTGTTTGACGTGGTCAGAGTGTCCATGATTTGGCAACATCTTTAAGTGCATCCAAACAAGTGCACGTAATTGGACTATTTGAGCCCTTACTAGACAAAGTGAGCATACCAAAAGGAAGAATAAGACCGTCTTTAGCAAACATGCTACCTCATTTGTCAGGAGGTATCATACTTTCATCATGTTTTTGAAATGAAGTGTTCAAATTGTTCCATCTTTTGACCTGTTCAAATCATGTTGACAAAAACATAAAGTTTGTTTGTAAGGTAAATACTGTTGCACGGTTTACTGTGGGGTGACTGTTTGGCTGTTTACCACTTAGAGCTAAGACACGCTTGCTAATTTCAAATCCAGCCTGGCTTCTTTGTAACACATCAGTTTTTTCTAAATGTTGCCAGAAGGAACCACCAGGTAACGTTGTCAATTCCATGTGTTAGGCCGTGACGTCAAACAGGCTACCCATTAGTTGTGTGTTGTTGGAGTAAAGAGCATTCATTGTAGACAAAAAGACTCTTAACATGAATGCAAACGGTCGTGCATAAGGATTGAAGAAAGACGTGGATATCTGTATGTATTGCACGTAACCATCAGTGCTAAATCTGTCGTTTCAATAATGGAGTGATGCTTTTCTCTGCACCAACAAGCAGCCAGTCACATTTAAACTAACATGGAGGCCCAGCCTAAGCTGGTGAGCTATATTTGGCAGTGGTATCGAAGAGCACTAGTGTTCATGTCATTTCAAAATGGGAGTTTTGCAAAATTAAAGTTTTGTGCTTAAACTTGGAGCATGCATGCTTTGGACAAAAATGTGTGACCTGTTGGATCACATTGCGATGTTTTAATTTTTTTTTTCCATTCTTTATAAAAGTGCCTTGATATTTTTTCTGTTTGTTCTGTACCACCCAAGTTGAGTAGCGTGATTCTTTTCCGTAAGCTTTGTTGGAGAACTGCCAATTGATGTTTGCTTTCACCCGATCCAAAGAGGTAAAGAGGTGTTGTAAGTTGATATCATGCATAACCTGCATTCGTCAATTCTTGCACTGAGTGCACCAGAAGGCAGGCATAAAACGTGTACCAACAATGAAAAAGGCAAACAGTTGGCAAATGTATGGTTTGGTTGTAAATGCTTAAATTCTCTGAATACCCAACCCCACCTGTGAGCATTACACAGTAGTGTTGTCGCAAAATTTTGTAGGAAGCAGTGTTGGTCTACAGATTTTCATATTTTGCCTTGTTCTTCAGTAAGCATTCTTTCAGTGAGTCTTTTTAGGGCTGAAGCTTGACTATCAGAATGTTGGCAATTTCTCAATTAAGTTTGAAAGTTCTCAAAGTAAGAAAAGTATTTCGGATAGATGGAGAACCACTGTCTGTGGTGATTTTTCAAAACGTTTCAAAGATACATTTCAGCATCTGGGGTTTTTTCTCTGTCTTTTGCATACTTATTTAGTTGCCAGTTTTCAAAGTATTTAAAGAGGATCCATTTTTTGCAGCCTCACATGTAGATTTCAGTAAACAATACTTTTTTTAAGTAAATGGTGTTAAGGCAAATGTGATCAAGTGTATAATAGACAGAAACATCACTGCCAAATTGATATGAAAAGTCTCAATCCCGTCATATTTTACTGATATTTCATCGAGATTATGTAAATTAACTTTTAATAGACACTGTAAAAACACAGCCTGTGGCCACCCCCAAATGTATTACCCTTGTGTTTGATTTTATACAGTTATCACACAAGATTGCAAATTATTTACCTTTTCTGTTTTAGTGAAATTAGTTACACTTGAATTGTGTCACCCTTTTGAGAAAATCTATTTTTTCGCCTGAACCATTCCTGGCAAACGTTACTTGTAAATTGCACAATATTATCTTTTTTTGAAAATGAGTTTACTTATCTTTTTTATTTTCGATTATCAGTATCTCTGTTCTCAGAGATTAGCTTTATTTTTATGGTTTTGGTGTAATTTTTTCATTAGGTAGTAGCTGGAAAAGGCTTCATAATTATCTTTCCGTCAAAACCATTCTAAAAAAAAGAAAAGCGAGCATTTTTCTGAAAATAATTCTGATCAGCCTGTCGTGGGTCTTTGGGAAAAATTTGAACCAGAATTTCACATTGTGCCACAATTATCTGTTAAGTTCAGATACCTGGGGAAAAATCACCTAAAACTGAACTTAACTCCAAAAGATTTGGGTTAATGAACAAATCAAGGGCGCAGAGGCAGAAAAATTTTGCTCTGCATCAAAATAAACAAAGAGAGGTTTATTTACCCAGAGAAATTGGTTGGTGTCGTTTTATTTTGTGTTGATGGTGAATAGGGACGATTTCTTGGGGGGGGGTGGCGAAATCAACCTCAGTGGTTACGGTGAGATTGTGGAGAATTGATGCGATCGTGATGCGCATGAATTTTGATCGAGGATTTTATTAGGGTGATGAGGACGTGTTCATTTGGTGATTGTGATGCATAGGTGGTGATCTGCAGGTTAGACAATGTTGATGATGTTGTTCATTGTTAAATTAGCAGTTATTCACCAAGAAATATAATCCTATCTTTTCAAAATATTTTTAAAGCAAAAAATTTAAGCGTATTCGCTGAACACTGAAACCGGGTCAATAGAGCGCATTTAAATACCCCGAATGTGTATCTTGATGTCTGGGATGACGTCATATTAAGACGAATAATAGCAGCTGTTTATGTGCTATACGACCTACATCATGTACATGTACATGTACGTTACAAGTGCATATGCGTAAACGCGGTACGGTTGATATATGCGCACGGAACTGTGATGAACGTTTAGGTCACCTACGCTCGAGCTCCAAGACACCGAAACTGCTAATATATCCCAAAATTACAACTTTTGTACTTCCGCCATGTGCTAAATTCCTTTGTCTTTGAGTGGGCCGCAATACTGGCATCGTCATCGGACTCAGACAGCGGTGGGTTGTCTCCTCCACCGGTGAAAAAACAACGCCTTTCTGCCGCCGCAATGCAATCCAACTCGACCGCAGCGGTGCACAATGGAGACGCGAGCGTACTCAACAGCAACGGGGCCAACATGGCCCCCGAACCGGTCATCAGCAATGGTGTGGAAGCGGCCAGTGCAGCCGGATCGTCCTCCTCTGCCGAAGGAATTTCCCGCAATCCTCGCGCCAAGCAGTTGTCCCAATGCGACAGAGACATTGTGAGACTCATAGGGCAGCATTTGAAGGGATTAGGCCTGACGTAAGTTGCCTGGCCCAAACAATGAAAGCATCATGCTGCCTTCAAAAAAGTTGTTGTTCTGGATTCCTAGAGAACCGAAGATAAGACAAGCTTTGTCTTTTTAAGCTGTTGAATGTAGACATGTGCAATGACTTGCTGAGCCAACATGCCTAGTTTTCTCATTGTTCAACATTAGGCTCATTTGTTTCCTTAACAGTTACAACAGTCATAATAAAACTAAAAAAAGGAAAAAAAAAGTGTGATGTGAAGCACCATTGGAATTTGGAAAGCAGTGCACAAAATAGTCTGTGACTCTTTTTAATTTGATATTTACGTCACTGTACATGCACAGACCTTCTAAAACACAAATTCAGCATCTCAAATATACACATGGGACTACATACTCTCAACCTTGATTACTACATTGTAATTACCTTCTCATTTTATTCTGATGACTAACCAACCTTTATCACCTGTGTGTACAGTCACAGTTTAGTTACCATGTATGTAATCCCAGTCTGACCCGTGCCCTATACTTGGCATTTGGGTAATTCCAGAAATTAGGGGTCCATTTTTTTGTGTCCCTGTTACATCTAACATATGATTTTGTAAGTTCAGAACACATTTTCTAATTTCCAAGAGTGATGAATTAATGCAAATTACCTGCCAAACAAATAGTAATAGTTTGAAAACAATTCCGGTGATATTTCCATGTCAAATAACAAACGTCAGATGTAACAGGGACATTAAAATGTCACACTTTTGGACCCCTTAGTTCTGGAATTAACTATTTGTGATTGGATTGAGTCATAATTTAGGTAACTTATTAAAACACGGTCATTCATTGCCACTGGTTGTTTATTGATACATAAATTGCTAAAAAAGTCAAAATACATGTGTATTAAGTCATATTCCCGGGTTTTGCCCTAGATATATCTCGAAATGCTGCATTAGTTGTGGATGAAATGTGTGGACCATGGAATTCTATGTATCGAAATTTTGGTTCAGATTAAATCAGCACTGTCAATCTGTTAAAAGTACACGTATTTTAATCAAAAATCATTCAGGCAGGATGTAAGCGGGCCTGGCCAGAATCCTGAGTGATGTTATCTCAGGAAAATTTCAGTGGTGTCTGTTTTGATAAGAGGCCGAACCCAAAATTCTGTATTGTGAATTCCTGTCTTTTTGTTTCACAAAACGTTCATATTGTACTCCTGTTGCACTGGCCATTGGAATTCATACAAAATGTAAATTTATACTAATCGCATACACTGTAAATATTAATGACTGTGCAGTTCTCAGTGTATAAAAATAAACTGATTAACCTTTGAACCCGATGAAAGGTTAAATACAGTCTGCATTTCATAATGAAACCACCATAGTAGGTTGACATGTGAGAGATTTGTGTGGCTGCAAATCAAATGGAGGCTTGACTAAGTTTGATCCCCAAACCCACAACCCCCATTACCATCATAAATCTCTTGTCCATGTTGGCTAGCAAACCCAACCTTTGCCCCCTGGCATCCCCTTTTTCAGTAGGGAAATAGCAAGTTCCTTCCCATGGTGATAATGGCAATCTCTAGGGATCCGTGCATTGCATGTGAAAAGTTCTTTTGTTGTTTTCCACAAAACCTGGGTCTGCTGGCATGGCTGTCTTTTCTTTGGTATGACTTGTTGTCTGAGTGCATTTATAAGGCAAGCAGTGTTTTGATCTGGGAAAACCTTTACATGTATCTTTGTTGTTGGCATTTTGTTTTGAATGCTGACAGTTCCTTGGCTGCTGTAGTATGTAGTCTTACTGTTGCCAATTCTGGGCACCAGCTGGTAAAAATGTGCATAACTGTCTATTTTTGTCGTGAATCTGTAGATCAGCTCATACCCATCAAAGGGTGTAACATGAATTCACTTCAGTTGCGGTGACTAATGCCTACATGTATAACGTTATGTATACATGTAATTTATGTCACACCAATATTGCAGCCTTGAACCCTGAAACCTCAACTTGCTAGCAATCCACCCCAAACACTAGGCCCTGTGATATCCTGAACAGGGAATAGCTTGAGGCTGTACTATGAATTTCAAGCAGTGAACAGATGTAATGTACGTGAGGACCTCCTGAGTCTCAGCTTCTTTTGTCTCCTAGTTCTATTGTTCCAAGGAGCATTATGGAAAGTCATGTTCTTGGTTTCCGCACATTACCGATCACTGTGGAAATGTTGCTTGCTGAGCTAAGGTTGTTTTACTTTCCAGTGAGTCCCTGTGCCTTTTTTATCAAGTCTTTTTTTCCCCATGTGCAGTCAAACTGTAGAGCAGCTGATGATCGAATCAAATTGTCGGCTCGAAGACCCCTCAGCCTCCAAGTTCCGAGCCCATGTCATGGCCGGAGAGTTCAACAAGGTACTTGTAATTTCTCCTGATTGTGGGCACGGACGTCTGCTTCAAAATGTACACTATCAGCTCATGAATATTTATGCAAGCGGTGGAGAATATTCTAAATGATTTTTGAGATGGAGTTTACTGGTGTGAATCGTCTTTTACATGTACTGGTATGTTTGCTGCTAACACTCTGCCACTCTGCATTATTTTTGTTGCTCAACATTACTATTCGCCAGCCTGCATTGTGGATGTGTACACACATGTAGTTATTGTGAGATGTTACTCACAAATGTGTGTTGACATACACGTTTTACATGCACACCTGACTCGGTTTCTCCAAAACCAGAATACAAATGTTTTACACCTACAGGGTAGGTGTCAATCTTTCTCAGTGAAACTACATATACAAGAAACTACCGATTATCCACAGCAGTCACAGAATTTTCAGTCACTTTAATGAACAAACTCGGCAGCACAATGCAAGACTATTAGAATGTTTACATGTAGATTTCCACCTGGGCCTGTTTTTGTCAGAAATGACTATCACCTTGGTCAAAGTCTTGTCATTTTACCGTGTCTCATCTCTCGATAAACAGGCAGAGGAAGACTTGGAGGAACTCAAACCCCAGATGACATGCCCTCAGAGCCTGATGGTAAGCATTGGATATTATGGCAATAGAGGCTTTGCATGGTAGCCATCTTGCAGGGCAGATCTTTTGTTCCGACAAGGGAACCTCTTTTGTGCCTACCCTGTAGAACAAAATCACTGGCCTACAAGATGACAGCCATGCAAACCCTCTATACTCGTAGGTATATTTTGAAGTATGGGTTCCAAACTGGTCAATTGTCCTAACTCAAGCCCCCTTTTTATAAAACAGACTTCCAAATTTTGTGTCAACATTTTTCTTTTTTTTTTATGATTGGTCATTATGAAACCATGTGTTAAAATACTGTTAAAACTGACTTTCTCTCCACCTGGATTGTTCAGTTTTGCCGGATAATTTTATGTGAATAGAAAGACTTGCCATTATATTTGTAAATCGAACAAGTCAAAACTGGTTTCCATCTGGGTTTTGGATACATTATACATTATATTACACTGTAGTACAACCAATGCAATAAAAATATGCAAAAAAATAGACGGTACATTCATCCAGCGTGAACACTTGGTCGGATTGGGTGTATCCACTTGTGTGATCATCATTCTTGTCTCAGACCTTTCAGCCTCAATTACAAGCTTTTACTGCACAAATGACACCTAATGAAATTAAAAGCCATCTAGACTTCGAACCATGGAGGGATGGAAACCATGCCGGTCATACATGAACCTATATATTGGTTGTGGTTTCTTGCACATAAAGCTGAGATTGATGCATACTGTACGTAAGCATGGGTCATGAATTGCCCTCAGTTATAATCATTATAGGACATGTCTATGAAAGGTCAATTAGACAGGATGGCACAGTTTGCATGTACACGTACATCTACTGTATATGTTCAGTCTTGCTTACATGCACTGTTGGGAGTGCAGTTGTTAGCTCTGATATTTTTTCTGCTGAAGGAGGAAGGATTTTCCCTGTTTGGGGGAAAATGAAATAATGTACAATGCACATACATGTAGTAATGCAGAAGAATTCCATTACTTGCAATATGACCACTCTTACTTATGAGGCCCATCAACGATGGACACAACCGGGAACCACTCTAATCACATTCGCTGCAGTGTTAAACATTCAATTGCCTCTACAATCAAATAAGACCGGGCCAAAGGGCCCGCATCTGAAGAGTCAATCGAAACAGGACAAGTGGTTGCTGCCCCGCATATTAAATTTAATATGTATGTTAGCTGTGTACACGTACCAGCATGTTCATGGCGTTGGCCTTCCATCATGTAGACAGCCGAGCAACCGTCTGTGCATTGAAAAGACAGTTTGTGTTTTTTTCATCAGGAGCGACCCTGTTGACATGTTCAAAATATTCAACTTGCATATGAAGTGCCTACACATATTGAAAGGGTGATTTATTCATGCACCCTAACTCATTAAAAAGAAGTTTGCCATTTCCTGGTTTAATTTGCCTGTTCAAGGGGACTCCTCAGAGGTGTAATCAAACACAAACATGACTGTTATTCTAGTCGGAATCATTTCACTCTTCGTATTCAGCATTTAAACAATTTGGACACTTGCGGTTTTAGTCTCAGTCAGTAAAACAGAACGCATCAGAAACGAACGCCCAGAAGCACAAGAACATACATGTACAGGCCGATAGACGTTGTCATGTACAGGCCTACAGACGTTGTCATGATAAATGAATACATGTACATGATATGCGCTGTGCGCAGACTACCGGTGCATGGTATTTAAAGTGATTGAAAGCTACATGAGAATACATGTAAGTTGTACATTTACTTCATATAGTAGTAAAAGAGAATTTTTCCAGGCTTTTTTCATTTTTGCCAGTGGGTCCTAATGTCCTTGACCTCCCCGAAAATTCAAGTCCATAGAAAAAGGTGGAAATGACAATGCTACAGCCACGGTCAAGTAGATTTGACTGAATTCCTAAAGCAGCTTACCCAACAAGAATTATATTTACTTGGTAATTTGCTCCCTGAGGCATTCTGCCATGCCACAGATTTTTTTCCCCAAATGTAACAGACTAGTGTTGACAGACATTTGTGGGAAAAAGTGTCTCATGTGTTAGTTGGAGGGAATTTTCCAATTATCCTTGTTAGCTTTGTGCCTCCACATTTTTTTTGCAACCAAACATGTAGGTCTTACACTGGTATGTTTTAATCTCTTACAGTCATTATGCTCATAAAGTACCTAACTGATATGCACATTCTGGAGAGAAGAAACTAGACTAATTCCGAGCAAAAGATTGCTGGACGACATGTTTATGTATTGAACTGTGTATTTCCTGACCATTTTCTGGCCAGTTTGTGCTTTTCCATGAGTTCTGTTGGGTACTCTAGCACATTTGCCATGAAGTCAACAATAGCACTGATTGCGTAGAGCCTATGGGCCCCGAGCGGGCCCTAGAGAGGGTGCAGTTTTCCTAGCTACGAAGGCTCCTTTGGTGTGAACTCCGCTCCGCTGGTTCACAAACAACTATGACATGTATGAAGTGCATACATTGCGGTCACATCATTACTAACCAAATAAACATTTCCCACCAACATGGCTCTTTTCATCTGATGAGGTGCTTGTCTCTGCTCAAGGCAGGTCAAGCAGGCTCAAATGATACCACTTTGCTTGTGCTGAATCCGTAGGTAATGGGTTCTGTAAATGTCTCAAACTTCATTGTAAAATAAGAAAATCGGGAAATCAGGGGCCTCACAGGAAATTGATTGGGCATACAATGTCAACCCCACAGTGCAAAAAATATAAAGGATGTTCCAGAAATAAATATAAAATAGAAATAAAAGGTTAATTTGGCCAAATTTTGTGCAGTGTAACTACAACTGTAGATTCGTTTACTGTGAAGTAGGAACAAAATCATTCAAATGATAGGTTGCTAACATATTTCTCCAGTTAAACTCCCCAAAACTCCATCATTTGGAAAAATAATATGGTACATAGTTATAATCACATGGCACACAACTTGGACAAAGTAACCCTGTATTTACATGTATAAGCATGAGCAACTGTGATCCTTGGTGTGCATTGGTTGGAGCCTTTGTCAGTGAAATTTTATTTAGTTTCTTCTCAACTTCTTGTCAGAAGAAATAGCAAGTTCATGCAGTAAGGTTTTTGTTTGTGTTGTAGTTCTTTTAACAAATTGCTGTAGCGGCAAAGACATTTAGTCATTACTCAAATATTATTCATGTCTGCCGAAGTGCAAATAAAATTCAAAACCCACGATCTGTGATGCAAGGTCACTTGATAACGGAATTGAAGCAAAAGAAGGCTTTTCAAAAATTAAAGTTTTTGAAGTTTCCGTCACATGTACTGTCTTGGATCATTGATACTGGTCAGTTTTGTTTTTTTCACAAATTTTTTTTCCCCAAAATTCTCCTCCATAGTGTTTAGGACGGGCATACATGTACTTAACAAGTATTGCTGTATCCATTCATGATTTCTGCCCACAGAAGATGAAGTTCCTGCTTCTCGAGCAGAAGTACCTGGAGTATCTGGAGGAGAGCCGAATCCTGGAGGCACTGCAGTGCCTCCGCCAGGAGCTGACGCCCCTCAAGTTCAACACCGAGAGGGTCCACGTGCTGAGTGGGTACGTTGTCTTGTGCATTCTTTGCATTGGCTTGTGCCCCGGCCTTGAGAGGGATGGTCGAATCCTGGCTTGAGAAAAAGGAAAGACATGTCGTAGTTCCTGTACATTGGTACACAAATCGCAAAAGGCGTCCTCCTTAGCACATGACCAGTGTACAGATATCTGGTAAATATTGCTGTTGGCCAGTAAAATACATTTGTTCACTTGCCCTGTTTTAAACTGTCATTTGTCAGGGTCGCTTCCAGTTCTAGATTTTTCCTAGTTCTGGATCGCTTGAAAAGAGAAGCTACCTTTTTTTATGTTGTCTAATAGTACTTTTTTATGCAAGTGCTGTTTTGAAAGGCAGCAAGTAAATTTCTTCCTATGCAAATTTTGTTATCCGAAATTTCTAGAGAAGGAATTTCAGCCAGATCTGGCTTGCACTTTAACATGGTCGAACAGTTTTTCAGAAATTATGGGAGCCAAAAAATCAACAAAAATTCACAGGACACAACGTCAATCATTTCATGTGATTCCAAATACTTTTTAGAGTCACTGCTTATGAATATTTGCCAAAAGCTGAATGTGTTTTTCACCTAGTGTTAGATCGTGCATGCAAGTACAAGTATATGTATAGATGCACCTATGTGGCAAACTCAACTACATGTGCATAACAAATTTGTGTGTGATATTATGGGTTTTCAGCTGTGGCTTGCTGTGCAGCTGAAAAAGTTGAGTCAGATTTCACAAGTTTTCATTCGTTTTTAATTCACTGGAATTCTGATATGTGAACTTATATTCTGTAAATGAAGAAATTCTTCATTAGAAAATCAGCTTGTTACACTGGTTCAGGCTGGTTCAGAACTGGTTAAACCGATCTAAAAACTTGGAAAAGCACCATCGTCATTTTCGTTGATCCTGTAAGTCTAAATTAAAGTTAAAAATTTTGAAAAAAAGTGCAGTATCTCTTACACACAAAGTGGACTACCGATCACATTTCACTGGAATTTGTGGATTATTTAAGCTGCCGTCAGACTGAATAATTTTACTGATTTCGAAGTAGAAAAATGACTGTATTTGTAAAGATGAAAATAAAAAATATGAAATTAATTGTACAGGTTTTTTTATTGTTAATTTTAAGTTTTGAATCTTCCACTTTTACATTTTAAAAATTGACAGCAAGACTGCACAATAATGGTTGAAATCATTAAGTTGAAAACAGTCAGGACCTGCATTAACTCATTGGCAGTCAGGCAGACATTACATTGTTACTTCGTAACAGTTTCTGGTTCCTTTTGGAATTATTGAATTATTATTTATGTTTCTGGGGAATGGTAAATGGTGATAGACTGGAGAAAGCTTGTCAAAGAATTATTCCTTCTTTAGTGATGCATCCACACCAATTTCTCTGCAGATTTCTGATGTGTACAAGCAAAGAAGAGCTCCACAGACGAGCGGATTGGGCAGGGAAGGGCCACGCCTCCAGGACAAAGCTTATGGAGCAGCTCCAAAGTATGGGAAGAAAGAGTAACTGCCAAAAAATCTGACCTCAAGAAAATGAAGGTTCAACTTGGCAAGCAAACCACGAGTAGATTCTCAGCGGAGCAGCTTACGATTAGGTCAAAGATGGACACCTGGGGCCAGAGCCAGTCTTGAGTCTAAAAAGAATCTTGCCTAATTGAAATCAGTAGGAACCCTTTACATTTTTAACTCGAGCATCAACAGGATGCCAGACTGAGTGATACCTCAAAACAAACAATTCCAGTTTCTCGTTCTTCAAACTGAAACAAAATATCCTGAAAAAAATAGCCTGAAAGTTCATTTTGTTGGATCTGAACTCATCTGATGATGATAATGATGATGATGACAGTAGTAGTATGTGTGTTGAGAGGAATCACACTGATGTGGTATTGATTTGATTTAGAAGGATAAAGACAATGATAGTGATTGCAGTGATGATGATTGTGGAAAAGTGGACTTAAATTTCCAGTGACTATGATGGGTTTTGTCGCACTGACAATGGAAATTATGTGCATCATGTCATTGCAATGCCACACAGGTTATGAAGCATTCTCTGCTGAAAGCGATTTTAAGAAAGATCCAATATGTTCGAGGTATGTTCAGTTTTCCAATTTTTAATCTTTGCCTTCTTGCTGTCCAAGCCTTCCTTCCTCCATCTGTTATGCTACCACCGAGGCGGTTATACACCCTTCTCAATCAAGCTGTAGAGCTTCAGAAGCATCGGTGTCCCTACCACAACACCACCATCAAGAATGATGACTCCCTTCAATCAATTTCACTCCTGCACGATCATATATGTAGTCGGTAAGACCATTTGGATTGCCTTTAGGGATGATAAAAGGATCTTTTGAAATTGACTTGAAGTACTGTTGCATTTTCTTAAGCCATGCTCGTATGTGTCCATTCTCACGAGCTTTAAATTCTCATTAAAGTTTTCAGGGCTCAGGTACAGTAAGTTCGGCATCCATACAGTTAGTCATTGTGGAATGGAAGCAATGGATTTTCTTCAGTCAGGAAAAAAATACTAGCGTGCTGATCAAGCACTTCTGCAAGATTTGCCAGTGAAGGACAGCTCGACCCCTTCACACGCAACCATGATTTATCAACCTTACACAGAGGCAGTTGAGCCATGCTATATAAAGTGTAACACTTGTAGTTTATACAGGTTGTAGATAGGGACTAAACAGAAGTATTTTTCATTAGTCTAAACTTTGAGCCAGACAAACGTTGGTGGTAGTCTGATACAACATTTGATGGCTTGTTCCCAGGAAATGTTGAAGTTTGGCATTAGCGTTTATTGGATGGAACAAACCAGTTTTGTCGCATTCAATTCAATTGAAACATACATTTCATGTTGTCTGTAAACTCTTCACATTCACTAGTTAGTAAACCATCAAGCAACATAAATATTCCAGGCTTTTAGAAGACATAAAAAGCACTTTAGCTCAGTAGCTTGGTCTTGAATAGAAATTTTCTTACCACAAGTTGAGAGAACTTCTCTACAATCTCTCAATCTGCAGGAACCAATTTCCATCGAAGTGCAGGCAGGTGGTGCCCGACCACTGTGACGAGGTGTGGTTCTGTAAGTTCTCACCGGATGGCACCAAGCTGGCCACAGGATCCAAAGACACGACTGTCATCATTTGGGACATTAATCAGGTAAGACAGTCCCACGCTGCTGCCGTGTCTACCACCTGTCTTCTGAGGAGTTCAGGCCTCTGCTTCTGGCCTGTTCCAAAGCCTCTACCTTACCATCTTGGCCTTTTCGTACACAAATCATCTTGTTATATAAGAGTCGTCAATTTCATTTGAAGGCAACTTGAGTGTCTCAACGTGATATTATGATGCTCTCTCTGATATGCTGTTGCAGGATACATTAGAGTTGAAAGCCATAAAAACGCTGGAGGGTCATTCTTACGGCGTCTCCTTCCTAGCCTGGAGTCCAGACTGCAAGTATCTCATAGCCTGTGGTCCAGAAGAATGCTCGGAATTGTGGGTCTGGAACGTAGAGGTATAAAATCCACAATACTTCTGACTCTTCTGTTAGATAACCAGTTTCCTTTTTCCAAACCTGACAATAGTCAGCAGGATCCAACCATAAGCAGGGTCTGTCCAATGTTGTTTTGAGCAGTAAAAGAAATAAACTTCCAGCTGTCGGATTCTTGTTGATTAAAGACAGTGCCATATCGGCACCCAGGAGCCAATTTCATGGAGCTGCTTAAGCACAAAACTTGCTGAAGTGCGAAAAAGCTTACTTGATAAATCAGTTAACCAGCCAAAACTCCATTTGATGTATATTGTTTTGAGATTGTATTTAGCTGTTCTTTAGTTAGCATGACAATCAGATAGAGTTTGAGCTGGTAACCTTTGTTTGTTAAGCAAAGTTTTTTCCTACTTAAGCAAATTTTGTGCTTAAGCAGCTCCATGAAATTGGCACCTGTACATTCAGTTTGTTAGATTCTTTTAGATGCAGTGCGGTAGTTGCAAAGTACCAACTGTCAGGGGTTTCGATTAAGTTATTGAACATTATGGCAGTTGCACTGCTGCAGGAGTAAATGAAAAATATTATGTACCCAAATATGGCATTGGCTTGACAGGAAAGTTTGAAACTTCAAGAGAGTATATATGTAGTTTTGTGGTTGCATGGGATGCACAAAGTGGCCCTATTGACCCATTTCCGATTGCGTTGAACATTTTACTGGCAGACAGGGGAGAGCAAAACCAAAATCAGTCAGTCGCCGGAGGACAGCTTAACGAGCGCCTCCTGGAATGCAGACAGCAAACGCTTTGTCACGGGAGGCAATCGGGGACAGTTTTATCTGTGTGTAAGTATTAATGTCACAGAGTGGCGTGAAATGATGGTACAGTACATGGACGTTCTCCACAATGTGATTATTAAATTTGAACAGCTGTGGCATACATTTAGGTGGTATTCAAATGAGGAATGTTTTTGAATAAATTGTTCAAATTATTCTTTCCACTGTGTGATGCATTATTTTTTTTTATACAACGCCTGAATTAATCCTGAATAAATACTCGACCGTGCTGTGCCTTGCGTTCAATGACACGTGATCAATGACCCACCTACTTTTTATCAGATAACTGGAATTTGTTTAGTTGTATAAATTCTTGTAACACATGTTGTAAGCAAAAGACTGGAATGCCATGGCAGCAAGTACTTAATGCTTGGCTGTGTAGCGTGTATGTAAGGATTTTAATACAGGGTACACCAAGTTAATTCATTTGTCGAACATGTCACATCCAAATACATGTACGTAGTTGCCCTGGATCCTTCTGATATATAGTGACATTGTTTGTTGTAGTGTGACAGCCCCACTTCTTATTTAGTATTCAGTCTGCATGGAGATGAACTCAATGCAGGGACCAATCGTATTCCTTCATTGATGGAGAGCCTATAATAATCAAAGCAAGTAGCATCCAACGTTGAAAGGACATTCACTCACATTGGACTGTGGCACAGGCTAATTTTAGGGCACTCTTATAAACGTTTTGTAAGTTAGATTTGAATAAAATCTGGTACACTGAGTTATCTATATTCACTTGAACATAATTTGAATTCCCCAGACTAAAGACACTGTTGCTATACCTCTTGATTCAGTGCAAGCTTTTTCTTAATTACATAAGAGACACCTTGCCTCAGTACATTAAGAAACCAGTCCGTTCCAGAGATAGTGGTCGCTATGCAAAGGCTTGCCCTGAATTATGAGGTATCGCAACAGTGTCTTTAGCCTGAGGAATTCAAAGTGTTATGTTTATGTGCAATCAGATAACTCAGTGTACCAGATTTTATTCAAATTTAACTTACAAAAGGCCTATTGGTCAGAGTTTCTGTGACAACTTCCTCAAAACCTATCAATATCTCAATCACCATGTACCTAGTTTGCCTTCTGTTCCTGCAGGATTTAGATGGTAATGTCCTAGAATCCTGGGAAGGTGTCAGAGTGCAGAGCCTGTGCATCAAGGGGGACACTAACGTTGTACTGGCTGCTGACACACACAACCGCATTAGGGCCTATAACTTTGAAGACCTCACAGACCAACATGTGTAAGTATTCTGTAGATCACATTATGTGTGATTGATTTGTAAGCAAAACATCTAAGCCGCCTTCATGTGGGTGGTGATGCACTGCAGCAGTGATGCGCCAGTGTCCGCCCCATCTCTCTCGCTTTGTCACCATTGAGGAGGTACTTGAGCATGGACACAGCCCGCGACGTTTGCATGCTTCTACGTTGTGAGTTTCTGTGGGCCATGTCAAGTGTCCAGTTATGCTGTCTTAAATAGATGCATAAATGCCCCGTGGCTCTGAATCAAGCCCATTCTTGGGATTAAATATTCTAAAGATTCAGCACTTTGCTCACAGATTTGCAAGCAAATATCGTATCAATGCTTCTAAGTTGTCTCCATAAACGTGGCGTCGATGTGACTATTTTGTTTTGGTACAGTATCCAGGAGGACCATTCCATCATGTCCTTCACCATCAGCTCCAACCAGCGCCAAGCCTTGCTGAGCGTGGCCTACCAGGGTGTCCATCTCTGGGACATCAAGGACAAAGTGCTGGTCCGGAAGTTCCAGGGTGTGACCCACGGCTTCTACACTATCCACTCCTGCTTTGGTGGGGTCAACGAGAAGTTCATCGCCAGCGGTAGTGAGGGTGGGTAACCCAACAGGTCTACATACTAGCGACGTCACACTCTGTTTACATGTGCACCATAGGAAAGCACATGTGTAAACAAAATGAGACATCGTTAGTACACAGATCTACTAGAAGGAGTGATTTAAAATATCCAAAAGAGCTGTACTGAAATCTTTGGACACTAGTGTTCACTCTGTGCTGGTATAAGAGATAACATGGTTTTTACATAGGAATGACATCCCTTTAGTGTTAACCACTTCCTGCCAGGGACTCCGGAATCGGAGAT